GGGGGGGGGGGGGGGGAGTTTGACAATCTCCTCCAAATTATTGCACAACTTCTTGAACATAAACTCAGGAGAAGCATATTTCCCCTTTCTTTTTTCTTTTTAAAAGGTGATTATTACAAAAAACAGAAACCAGTTATGACTAACAAAATGATTTATAAATTATACTCTTGTCATTTCAGTTTACATGACCACTTTCTACCTTGGTACTTACAAAAATATTTGAGGCCATTCCATTTCTATGCAACTTTCAAGAATTAAAAATCATTAAATTATTCCAGTTATGGACTTTTGATGTGATATTTTCTCTATCATACTAGCTTTTCACCCACTACTTTAATATTTTACTCTACTATCAAAAATCTAATATATAAGTCAACTTAACATCACAGACTCCATAACACACAAAATGAAATGGAGGGAGTAGTTATCAAATGAACAATACTTGCGCACAGAATAAAACGGAGGGAGTAGTAATCAAACAAACCAAAATAATCTAAACTAAACAGGCCAAGGAAAGGAAAGGTTAGACAACATTTGTGCACATTTGGGTCTTGTACCATGAACTATTTTTTTTTACTTTTCTTAGTAAGGTAACAGTTTATCCATCAACACCAAGATGGTACTGGCAATCAAATATTTACAGATTACAGGAACCTTGTGTCTTACAAGGAGTCAAGAGAATCTACAAGTGATTCTGCATCTACAACATAGTTCTCTTTGCACATTGTATGTAACAACTTCTATTCTCAAAACATCTATTATCCTTTTCTTTGCACACAGTTTACACATTGTATGTAACTACTTTTATTCTCAAAACATTTCTTATTCTTTTCTTTCCACACAGTCCATATGCATGCTGGAGCCATAGTACCATGAACTATTGTGCACTGTTTAATTCCTAAATACCCAGTTTAGCAGCACAAAGTTAGGGAAGACAGCAAATACTATATGCCAAAAAGATATTGGAAGGGCAAGGGAAGATATGAACATAATGATTGAGCAAATGAAATCACCTCCCAAATAGATTTCCAGCAGCAATAGTATTTCCTTGAACATAGTAATCGACATTCTCTGTTACCTCCTCCAAATTATTTGCAGTCTGCAGAACCTGCCATAAGAAGATAAGAAAATAAAGTTATGGGCCTCAACATAAGATTTCAATTCCAGCTATAATGCGTAGATTGAAAAATAAAGAAAATACTATATATTTGGAAGCGAAAAGGATACCATTGTACGAGTCTCCAAACTAATAATCAAATATGCATGATATTCATCTTCTTCATCTGCCACCCTTGAGGATTCGTTGAGATGGCTACGTGCACTCTTGTGGTAAACAGTCCAAATTCCCTTGCAACCTGGCAAGGCTTCCTTCACAAAGTAAAATTAAGCATCAAAATTACTTTCTCCGGCTAGATTTATGCATACTGTTCACTAACAGGCAGTGTCAAGATATGCTGAATATCTAAGATTAATTGAAAAAAACATCATAGAACATTTCCCATTAGTCCAAGTTTGATCCTAGTCAAGGTTGTGTAACTAAGAATGCAGAGAAACATAGAAATTCCTAAATGCTTAGCACTTAGAGAAAATCAAAGTCGTCTCCTTGACATCAAGATACGAACAAAGAAAAACAAAGAGAACAATCACATCATTCAACATGAAAATGGTAGTATCATGGTACACATCAAAACTCAGTGCAATTCTGTTCAGCAAAATTTTCAATAAAAATTGAACTTTCTGGTAAGGTGCCCGTACATCAAGTAACTATAGTAGCTATTCCTTCAAGTCACCACCAGTCATGTTGCTCATTAAACATAAAACTAGACAATTTACGGAATTTTCTTCAGTCTCGCCGCATAGAGAACCATCTGAATAACATTTTAACAATAAATACCATGTGCCATGCCCATTTTTAAAAAAAATATCATGTGCCATGCATTGCAAGATTAGCGAGGGGTCCAAATGAGATTGGGAGGAAACATAGTCCTGATGCAGGAAAGCTAGCTTGAGGATATGCATACTGCAAAAACTAGTAAAAAGGAAAAGGAAGGCCAAGGCACTTCAAAACTAATGTAATGAATAAACAAGAAACAGGAAGAAAAATAACATTACCTCCTTCCCCCCCCC